CAATCCACCTTCGGTCTTTGAAACAATGGAAAATTCATCAGGTGTCCTGGTCTACACCCCATGTCACCACCAACATGAGTAATTCCAATGCCCGGAGTCTGGAAGCACAAGCAGCTCACAACAAACTGCCTGCTAACCTGTCTTTCTCTCTCTAGACAATTACAATTGGCAGGTGAGGGGAAGAGAGTTCCTACCCTCTTCTTACCTGGCCAAAACACTCAGGATGCCCTGGAAGGGTCCAGATTGGAAAATGCTAACACCAAGAAAGGAAGGTTATCCCAAGACAAGTTGCTCAAAAAGTTAAACAAAGAATTACCATACAATGCAGCAACTGCAATTCTAGGTATACAGTGCTGGTGTGGCACTGTAGGCTAATGCGCTGGACTGCAGAGTCAGTTTGAATAGCAAGGTCAGTGGTTCAAGCTGCCTAGCCGCTCCTTGGAAACCCCGTACAGGGTTGCTACGAGTCAGAATCGACTCAATGGCACTTAGTAACAATACCACTTGTTGTTTTTAAGTGTTATCGAGTAGGTTCTGACCCACAGCGACCCTGTATAGGGTATTCTAAGGAGTGTGGCAGGTGGGCTTGAACTACTGATGATGTAATTAGCAGTTTGGTGCTTATCCTACAGAACCAGAGTAAGACTCCAAACATTTAAAAGCGCAAGAACACAAACACATATTCACAATAACCAAAAGGCAGACACCTAAACATCCATTCATGAGATGAATGGATAAATAAAATGAGACGCCTCCTTACAATGGAATACTACTCAGCCAGAAAGCATGGAGTCCTGATTCAGGCTACCACATAGAGGAACCTTCAACAGAGAAGGTGGAGTGAACTAAGTCAGGCACAAAGGGCACATAAAAACATTCTATGATCCTGGTGTAGAAGTCCCTGTTGGCACTGTAGGATAAGGCACTGGACCACAAGGTCCGTTTGAATCAAAGGTCGGCAGTTCAAACTCACCAGCTGCTCCTTGGAAACCCTATACAGAGTCGCTATGGGTCAGAACCGATGGCATTTAACAATAAAAAATCTAGAATAGACAAGTATACCAAGCCCAAAGTTTAGTAGTGTTGACCAGTGGTGGGCAGGAGGGAGTCACTGTTTAGGGAGCACTGAGCTTCTGTTGTTGTTGTTGTTGTTAAGTGCCGTCGAGTCAGTTCCGACCCATAGCGACCCTGTATAGGGTTTCCAAGGGTGTAAATCTTTACGGAAGTAGAAAGCCTCATCTTTCTCCCGCAGAGCAGCTGGTAGTTTCGAACCCCTGACCTTAAGGTTCGCAGCCCGATTCGTAACCACTACACTACCAGAGCTCCTTG